ACGGTGTCAAACGCCTTGCACAAGTCCAGATCTTAAATCATTGGTCTTTAATAAGAAACAATTATTTATGGTACTGGGAGTAAAACTACAGCACACACTTAGAGTACACCTATTATTCCACAGTATTTGTCCACATAGGCATTCCACCATCGTAACAAAAAAGCTTACCTTCCTTTTTCATTGAGAGACTATAAAAATAACACACAACTAAAAACTAGACTGTGAATAATTACTTCAGGAAGCACTGAAAATATGATGTGATGATGTGACATTAAGAAAGGGGGGAAGAAAGTCAAACATATCTAAAAATTAAAGAAATTAATAGAATAGGAAACTAGGCTATGGATAAACTTAGTCTTCAGAAGTGCTCACAACACTTGAGTAATTACTGCCATTATTTTTTCAAATTAATGATTCAAAAAGAAGAATGCCAACCACAAGAAAGTTTAGGTCAGATACTAATGCAGTATCTTCAGACAGAAAATATCAAAGCTGTGAGACTTACATGGCATTAAAAGCACACGCATCTAGGTCTACATGAAAATTTATTCCAGAAGTTATTTTTTTCATTTATGTTTATACTTTAGAAGTGCTAAAATGCATACTAGATAGGATGCATTAAAAGCAGTTCCTTTTTTTTTTTAAAGATAAACTTGATTCTAAACACCAAAACCTTACCTTGCCAGCTATCATTGCAAACACACAGCTTCTCGCCTGTCAAATCACAGTACCCATGATCTGGACTGCCACAGTTGGCTTTACAATATGGAATATCACAGGCTTCTCCTTTCCAGTACTTGTCACACTCACAATAGACCCGGCTTGGTATGGACACGCTGGTTGTACACTTTCCATGTTCTGAGCAGTTATTAGGACAAGAATTAATTCTGGAAAATATAAATAAATAAATAAATATGTAAAATAAGGGAAATGACAAGCTGAGAGTTGATGGCAGTGGTTTTATCTGACAGTATTCCAACAGTATTTGTTGGATAAACTCCTACTTTTCCTGAAAAATTTCTATGTACTGATAAAACACAAGTTTAATTATGATTAAACTGGCACACAGTTAAAGGGTTTTCCCGAGTGGCTTTGGTCCATGCTATAAAACAGTATGTCTAATATCCAAGGGGAATAAAATTGGAAAAAATGAGTGAGGAAAAATACAAGATGGCTAATATCCTGAAACTACTTAAAGGCAGCACTTCATGCTTTTAATTCTTAATAATAGAGCCACCTTAACCTTGCCTCCTTAACTCCACAGTCAGAGATGTAAAAAGAGGAAAGATTACGCTGAAAGATGCCTTTGATTGTTACGGAAGTTAGCATTTCTGTGATATGCCCTACCAAACACTGAGATCACAGACAACTGGACTGCAAAATTATGCAAACTGGTTCCAGAAATGCAGGCAATTCCTTGCAAACAAGGACATTGAAGTATGTGGGTCCAGGAGTTTCCATGAACAGAATCTCAGGCAGTATGTGTCTGATGAAGTATAAAAAGGATTTGGAATCTTTTTTGATGACTCGCAGCAAAGGGTTGGGTTGAAACTCAGAATAATTTGGTACGACAAACCCCCGATGATAATGCAGACTGCTCCCTGTAGATGTGAGAGCTGGATACCATTTATAGCCTCCCCTGCTCTTACTGAAGGAAGAAAGAACTGAATAAAGTTAGTGAGGAATTGTTAAAGACTGGCCTTTTGCCAAATGCAGTTGGGGTAGCAGAGTCAGGAGATGTGTATTTATTTTCTAAATACTCACACCTCAGAAGACTGATTCTGTTAGGCTACTGGAAAAGAAAATTCCACGTTTGAACTGCAAATGTCCTGGGGGTTTTGCCTAGTAACACACATGGCATTAAAACCATTGAGGGCATTGACTGCTGCGTACCATAGTTGTGAGGAACCTCTCCCCCTGACTTCATAGGGAGAGTGTTCTGCAGAAGGTGAATAGTTAAGTCTTTCCAGCAATAGAGGTATCAGTTTAAAAGTAGGCATATTCCCACTCCAATGGGTTCATTAAAGGTTCAAACAGAATGAGAAAAACTGGATCAGCAGAGTTGGAAGCAGGTTGCCTGACTCCAAGGAAGACAAAATTTGCTCAGAGAGTTCTGGAGTAGTTACTGTTGTTTGCAACTGGTATGGCATTCTAGTCACAGAAGATGTGCTTCTGTCTTCCCCAAAACAAAGGAACATGAATAGTCCATCAAGATGAAGTCAAAGATTTAGTTAAAAACTGCTTTGGGCTTACCGAAGGAAGAAAGAGCGTAACAGAAGCAGAGTGAAACAGTAGGTGGTACTTTCAGCATAAAAAGAGTTACTGTTGGCTCATTAAAAAAACCCTAAAGTTTTCCATTGCAATAGAATAAACAGAAGAACAGAATAGATAAAATTTAGTGAGTTACACATGTAATGGAATTTAAAATTGGCAGGTTTTTTCATTTATTTTAAATCTTCCAAAAAACATGCAGCACGCACCACATTACCAGGTCATAAAAGAATGCAGAACACACACTCATTTCTTAAGAATGTCATGTCATACTGCCATTTGCTCACAAGGCAAACAAAGAAAGTGTACTAAAAGCTTCAGGGATAACTGAAAAATGTATCTAATTACAGCAGAGAAGTCAGCCAGGTGATTGTATTTTACTGATGTCAACTGACAAAAATTAAAAATACCCAGTCTTCTAGACTGCCATTTCAAATACAATATATTTAGTGAGGTTTTCTAAGCTCTGAATAGCTATTCATTACCTGGTAAAAGTAGGCAAACTGCTGCAAATTACAGAAACAATCTTTCCATAGATAATTTAACGAAGATCTCTGCCAAGAGTAAAGCTCTGATCAGAAGCACAAATCTGAATTTTAAATTAATAAAGAATATGACAAAAATATTACATGTACTTCCACATTTGAAGTGCAGTGCTGGCCACCACATTCCAAAAATTGGTATTTCAGAATCTGAGGGAATTGAAAGAAAGGAACAAGAATGCTGTCAGTCACGGGGAAACTATCACATGAAGAAACAGGTCCAACAGGACCAAGCAACATCTTCTTGTACTAAAGCCTCAAGTACAAATAGACACCGCATCATGTGTCACAAGCATGTCCCAAATGGGCAGTAGTTGCAATCAACATCTGGTGCATATAAGGAGGAAAGGCAACATCTTTAAAACTGGAGAAAAGCACAGAAAAGCAGACCGGAGGAAAGCAAGCATAGTTGTACCAGGCCAGACTTTGCCATCAGAGAAAATAAAAGACAGACAATCCAGAAAAGAACTACAAAGGCAGAATGCAGACTGAGATGGCCAACAGGAGGGAGCAGTACCCAAAAAGTAGAGAAGAAATGGAATAAAACTCAGTGGAATAAAACACAAAAATAAGAGTAGGGCTTTGGTGAAGGTATCAAAAGCCATAAAAGTACATTCAGCAAGAAAAAAAAAATCAAGCAACAGATGATCCTACTTCAAGAGAAGGGAATTGCCATGACAGCAGATATAATCTCCCTTCTATTCCATGTGACAGCTACACATGTTGGTTCAGTACTGGAAGGGTTACATTCTAGTTCCATGTGGCTTAGTAAAAACCATAGTCTTGGAATTGCCATGCAGCTTCACTCAGAACAATACACTTCAACTTGTTGGTTTTTTGTTTGGGTTTTTTTTAAACTAGTACCTTAATGACAACTTATTACAACTCCAGCCATATGACTAAGCTTAATTCTTACAGCATAGACAAAACACTTTCCCTGGGTTTGACATTCTCCTGAAAGGAATAACAAGCTAATTAACAATGTAATTATTTATCTAAAAATACTTACGAGTAAAAAATGTTAAATCCAGTTAGGTTATATGCAGCATCACTAAAAAAGTGTAGCAGTGCATAGCCAGATGTAGTGACTACTTCAGGAACAGTTTCATTTCCACGCACTTCAGGGACTATTAGACCACTGGAAAAGAAAAGGACAATTTTTTTTTTTTTTTTAATCAGTCTTTGGGAGAAGGGGACGGGGGGGGAAGGAAAGAGGGAGTTAGCTTTTCAGCTTGTTAATTATATATACAACACTACTCATAAATCTTATTTTTAAACTTCTGTTTAAAAAAACAAATAATGAAATGTGTATAAAACTTTTCCATACTTCTGCAAGCTAAGGTAGGGTTTTCCATCACAAACAAACCAAAAAGTCTCCTCCTTCATGCAGTAATGCAAAATTTCACATCAGATTATTCTGAGGGTGCACACACTGTCAGTATAATTTTAAAAATTTATTTTAACTTTGAAAAAAAAAAAAATTTATATATACACCCTTCAGATAGGTGCTTAACGCTCATTGCCTTTCAGCACGAATTCTATTTCCACATATTTGGACCTTTAGAAGTTTATCTTACTAAAGAATTTCAAATATGCAAAGTATGATAATTAAGTAATTTCCAAGAAAAGGCAATTTTCCAATGGAAAATAGAATGCCTTTTAAAACTTTAGAAAGATGTTAAGAGGTCAGTCTTAAATAAAGACTGAAGTAGGAAAATAAGCAATATATTAAAATACTCAGAATAAGGATCAGCTCCATAAAGCAGTGCCTCATCACAAATATAAACTAAAAGTTACAGGAATCCTAAGGAACACACTAACAATCAATAAACCAAAAGATATTTGAAGTAATGAACACAGGAACAGGAACCTGCTCTTTCCTGTCATTCATGCTACAAATCAGACTCCTGAATAACAGCTAGACACATTTAACAAATACGACTTTGGGCAGGAAACAAAAAAAAACCCTCAAGTAATTTAATGTAACAATTTGGGAGAATTAGGAGAGAAGGTGGTGCAGATTGCTGTAGTTGGGCAGGAAAGATCGATGACCAGAGCTTTGTCCCCTTAGAAGAAAGCACTCTCATTTATGCATTTAGTATTTTCTAAACTTCAGCAGCAAAATCAGTATTTATTAATGCAAAATGAAGTACAACTTCTGTCCCACAGAGTATTTGTGTATAGATGCACAAACAGTTTCTGTTTTGTTGTTTTATTTTTTTTAATATGGCTTCGCACTCAACAGATATCCCAAGCTAACACTTTTACTGATTTCAAAGGATTAGGATCCTGTGCTTTCTCTCTAATAAATTATAGTCCAATTGCACTGAATATTCTTTCTCGAATGTTTACCAAAATTTTAACACAAGGGGAGGAATAAACCAACTGAAATATTTTGGTAAAGTCCAGGAATGAAGGAAACATGTTAAAATTCATATGCCCTACTTTTTCTCTCTTGGACACATAGGAAATGCAGTGCATGGACTTAATTCTTCACCTCAATAGTGTATTGTAATTTGAAAGGTAAATAACTAGTCCTTATTCAGTATTAGTTGTTATGCTTGTTTTTTGTTGTTGTTGATTTTGTTTTACTTCTAAACCTTGCTACAAAGTAATATTGCAATCCTAGACAACAAATATTTACCTGAAAAAATATTTAGTTGTGTAGAAATTCTCATAAGCTAATAATATAACAAAAGGAAAGAAATTCCATTATTTCAGTTGATAGCAAATTTGAGCTCTCCTCCAGGACTTTGAAGAATTTGATAATTCTTTGATAATTTGATAATTGTGACTTAGTCACAATGATGCCCAGTTTAGCAATTTAAGGAAACGTTACAAAATTAGTGCTTAAGATAGCCTTTTTATTAAATCATAGAATCATAGAATGGTTTGGGTTGGAAGGGACCTTAAAGCTCATCTAGTTCCAAACCCCCTGCCATCAGCAGGGACACCTTCCACTAGATCAGGTTGCTCAAAGCCTCATCCAGCCTGGCCTTAAACACTTCCAGGGAGGGGGCATCCACAACTTCCTTGGGCGACCTGTTCCAGTGTCTGATGCCCTGAACAAGTCTCTTCACACTTCACACAGGAACACAGAAGCTATTTAGCAGCCATTTTCTGTAACTTACACATAGTGCAGCATTACCCGAGTCACAGATTGCAATTCTCCCTTGAGTATGATCAGATACTGACACCATTGGCTAGTGCCACATTTAAAGCACATTAGAACTCAAGAGTCACTATTGGAAGGCTGCTGGAAAATACATTTCTGATTGCCTGTCTATGAGCATCAGCACTCCGTGGCTTTATGCTATGATCACCTAACCAAAAAAGTTGTGGTTTGCAATTTACTCTAATAAAACTTCATATATCTGCTCCATATTAACATAAGAAAACAAGTTATTTAACAAACTAAAGCCTCTAATGTTTGTTTGTTTTTTCCCCGTGAACTTAAAATGTCCGTACATGGCTACTTGGACTAAAAGGTTAATAAATACACTTACCTAAATACAGCTATTAAAGGTGCATATATTGAATCTCCATCATATACATACATATGGTCCCAACTACATTCTGTGGCAAAGTGATTAAATCTTAATCTTAGTATTGCATTTGGGCTGGGGAAAGGAAAAACAAAAAAAAAAAATGAGGTGAAACATTATTTGCACAAATATTGAGCTCATAAGATAAAGAACTTAAAATTGATCATACCAGCATAATTCTATTAAATCATTTGGAATATGAATGAAACATTTCAGAGAGTTAAATAACAACACAGGGCATGCAAATATTTCACTTTATTTTAGAAAACTTTAAAAATAGTATCTTCAGTCCAAGTCTAATAATCCCTAAAGTTAACAAGAGACGAGTTCACCAGGTTTTATCAGTATTCAGAACCACAAATTTAGAACAATTAAAATGTCCCATTTTAATATATTAGCTTTACTTTATAATGTAAGGACTATGAGGTTTCAAGACAAAAATCACCTACACATACTCTTTCCAGTATTATACTAGTTATTGCAAATACAAATCTCAAAACACAAATTTAAAATTGCAAGCAATATTAGTGCAAGATTTTTTTTTTCCTTCTTCCTCTCCCTTCTCCCCCAATCTGACCCTGGGAGTCAGATTTCACCAGTTTTTGCTTGAGTTCCAGAGGGAGACTGCAAAATTTCTGAAAAGGGGAATTTCCTCATGTGACAAAATTAGTAGACTCCTAAATATATTCCATGCAACACACTAATTATTTTATTTTATTCAATTTATTTTCCCCTTCCTTCTTACCAGTTCAAGTACAATTTATCAGTTTGGAAAACATATGCTTTTTTTTTTTCCTCTCTCTCCTGTGAGAGATCATTTCTAGACAGCTCTCCTTATTCATTTTTTAAAAGAGAGTATTTTATACATATGTGACTTCCTTGTGCGTTGACATTTTGCGCTATGTTACCAGGTTGCATTACTCTTACACATACTGTGCAGCATATTGTTTCCTCCAGCTACGCACTCTACCATCTCCTGCAAAGAGGAGGAACAGAACAAAGACCAACTTCAAAGCAGAGTTTGTGTGCAGTTCTGAGGCATGTTTCCACTTTAGCTTAGTGTAGTACAGTGCAAATATTCCCGAGCTATCCTGGATAAAAGAAGTCTAGCTATGTCAGAAAGATACTCAGCTATAGCCTAGTCATCTAGATATTGAAGCTTCTACTTCTATGATTTTGTACTCCCTGCAACTTCATTGCTGTTGTGTGTAAATTACTATCTGCATATAAGCAGACCAAAATTCGATCATTACTGAACTGCAACGACAGAGCAGACATCTAAGGTAGTTGAGGTTATGACAATATGGAAAGGGAGTAATTTTCTTCTAGAACCCTAGTAGAACTCAGACCTAGCTAAATTCTTCACCAAAATACTGACCCATAGTCTGAGGAAACAAAGTCCCACTGAAATTACCAAACTTGTTAGCCATACTAGTGCATGTGTCTTATTATTTCTTTGTGCATGTCTGTGTTTCACTGCTGCATAAACTGAAAAATTAGCAACAGACATGAGACATCTAAACTGTATAAACTGTGGATACAATATGACTTTAAAATTAAGTACATAAGGAAAACTGGAATGCAAAAGAAATACTTTATAGAAGCATTAACTTCTGAGCAACATGTAACTGAAAAATTCTCATCAGACTGAAAGCATTCTGTACTTGAAGCCATTCCTTATTTATCACTGCAGAGTAAGATAATGAGTTAAATAATAGGATTCTGTAACCACATTTGGAACTTATGTAAAGGTACCCAAACAGGCAACAAATTTATTATAGGGTTTTGAGAGCTTGCAGCACTGGCCAAATTCCAGTGTCAGCCTAACTTCTGCCAGTAATTTGAATGAGAATGGAATTTGGCCAACTCTGAGTAATCCTGAAAATCCTACTTCAACTTTTTTTTTTTTTTTTTAACCTTTATAACATTTAAACAAAAACAAATAAACAAAAAACCACAAAACTTTATTTTTTATCCAAATGCCATGTCTACTAGAGGAATTCTTTAGATCTCTAGAATACGCAGTATCAAACTGACAGAAAATTTAAGCTTTAAAAATAAATACTTACTATCCTTCAATTAACCATGTACATTTAGTTTTATATTTATAATTTATTGGTCCATCTGTTAAATATCCAGACGGTTCTGTTAACCTACAAGAGAAAAAACAGTGCTGTAATATACCAGAGACAACACAACAGAACACACATCATCAACATGCCAATAGATTCTTTCTGGATGGAAAGAAAATTGGGGTGGGTGAAAGAGTTAAGTGTCTCTTCATATTTCTTGTCTCACTATTTTTGCTCATAAAAACTAGAATTCTGATTATACTATATCGTTGATTTGCTTTCTTCCCCTGGGCAATCACAAGACTTCTATTTCAGTAGCAAGCAAATACTACATATAATTTAAATTATCCTTCACACGAAATAGATCCAAGCCAGTGTAAAGGGTTATTTATTTAAGAGTGTTTCTGTTTGGTTTGCTTGGTTTTTTTGCTATTGCTTTACATCTTACTTCTGAAATTAGACCACAGCAGCAGCAGGAAAACTGTTCTAGATCAAGGGAAATTAAGGCACAAATTATAAATTTAAATAAGCATATCTGCCAGTCTGTCCCTCTTTTATTCCTGGTCAGTGATGAGACATGGGAAAGCAGAACAACACTGAACTACATAGAAACTAAATAAAATGCATACGAACAGCTATAAAATGTCAGACCAAAATGCCGACATAGCCCAGCACCCTGCCTCTGACAGAGACCTACAGTGGATACCCAGGAAAGAATGTAAATCCCTAGAGATACTCCCCACAGCGTTGCACCTCCTTCAACGACTTGCAGCTCAGGGGCGTTCTCAGCCAGAGGTTGTGCCTTTGCATTGGTTTTGGGTTAACGTCTCTCCTAGGAGTCTGCCCATGTCAACTCATAGAAAATTGCAGCATCTAGAACATCCTGAAGGAATTTTTTCCACACATATATGAAGAGACATCTCAACTGTTTTTATCCAGAGCCTACTGCTTGGTAATTTCATCTGACATCCTTAGGTCTGGTATTGAATGAGATGATGAACAACAGCACCCTGTTTACATGCTTTATCCCACTCAAAATATAATGATATGCATTGCTTCCCTTCCTTCTCTCCTTCCCTTTTCCAACCTGAGAAATCTTTGCTCATTTAATTATTTCTCATATGGAATAACTATATTTGATCATCCTCACTGCTGGTATTTAATATATCTTTTCCATTCTCCTATACTCTTTCTGATATGTGATACAGAGATCAGCATATCGTACTCAAGATGCAAGTGAACCATAAATCTGTACAGTAGCATAATCATGATTTCCACTTTGTTCCCTATTCCCATCTTAACATGTTATTTGCTCTTTCAACAACTACTATGCTGACATTTTAAACACAACTAGCTGCTATAACTTTTTTCTGAGTGATAATAGATATTCAAGATTCATTACACATAGAAATTTATTTAATGTAGAAATAGAACCTTTTTCCTCCATTCATATATATTACTTCACATTAATCTATACACAGTGATAAATTAGTAGATGAAATTCAGTAATCTATTACCATAAAAGCTTTCTGAAAGAGCTTAGTATCTTCAGCACACTTTAACTTCACAATTTACCTCATTTTCTACAACTTTTATGATTATGTTCTATAGTTCAGGCCTTAACACACACTTCTGGTGGCCTTACTCTACTGGGAAAACTGACCATCCTACTCTTTAAAATGTTGCAATTACAACGAATATAAATACATACTCAGAAATGCTCAGTTCTTTCACTATAGTGTGGCAAGATAATAGTTAAGAATAAGTATCACTGAATAAGAAAAAAAGCAGCAGTTGTGGTTTTCTGTTTTGTTTCAGTTTTTATTAATAAATCAAGACTAGATCCATGTCCAGAGGCAATGCTGAACAAGCTGACCAAGTCACAGGTGAATTTTCTCACCAGGATTCAAACAGAATTCAGTATCTGCTATCCTACTATATTTGAAGCTGTATACACCAATTTTAAAAATATTCATTACCACGTCTACTGCAAATTATTTACATTTTTACACATATCAAACATAATTGCATAGTAACTAACAGAGGTCTGTAATTCCAAACATAAAATTATAAACATGTGGAAAGGAAATAAAAACAAGGAAGCAAGAAAGAAAAATTTATGAGACAAGGTCTGCGCAAACTCCTAGGTTTTTAAAAAAATTCCTTCACCTGTCCTGTAAGAACTAGCATCATTTTTTTAGGCACACTGTAAGCTACTCTGTTCCAATTGCTGGTGGTTTGAATGAAGATCTTTACCCACACTACCCTTTTGATGAAATGGGACAAAGTTCTGTAATACATGGAGCTGTCCAAATAATCGTAATTCAAAACATTTTCAGGGCATAAAAGCAGTATCAAGAACGTATTTTATGTTTCTGAATAAAAAGAAGAAAAGCAGATAAACAGCTTGTAACACAAGCAGCGGACTGGGAGGAAAAAAAATACAGCATAAAATTCCAATCAATTATTTTAGTGCTGTCCTATGGTTTATACACAGATGTAAAGTCTCAGATAGCAAGCCACAGAACATTTATTTTGCTGCAAGAAGTGTGGAATATCGCAAATATTCATTTGCAGTCATGACCATTGCCTCTCTTAGTAGCTGTATAATGCAATGGAGGTGACTTACAAGAGTTGTTTTTATTAGATCAGCCCTCTGGCACTAGGAAAGTGCAAACAATTTCCCTTTTCACCTACGCTGATAATTTTTCAATAAATAGTTTTTTTCAGAAGAGTAAATAGCCTTTGAAGCAGCTATTGCACTTTGCTGAAAAAATAAAGAATAAATAAGAGCGTGACATTGCTTTGTAATAATGATTGTGGAAAATGGTAAAAAAAGGGGCTGTTCTATTCGAAGTAAATACATAGCAAGCTAGAGCGGTATCACTTTAAGTTTCTTAAGTTGAACCAAGAATTTTCTGTATCATTTTTCTTTTCAAACATTATCAAATCCCAAATCCCATAAATAACACAGATAAGCAGTACTACCTCCATGTAACCTCTTACCAAATCAAGGTCAATCTTCTCTATCGTACAAAGCCGGGTGGGTATTCATGGTTATATTTTCCTCTGGGACTAACAGTGATCCCGTCAAATAACCAAAATCCAGACAAGCCAACCTGACTACACACTCTTTAGTTACAGAAGTGGAATAGCCAGAACGATGCCTACATGCTGCATCCCACTCCCTGCTCATTGCCAAGAGTTTCAGGGATGAGGGGACAGCCAAAACTATTTGTGTGCCCTGCTTAAGCATCACAGGTTTATCACACCGAGACTCCAGCTTTCTAAGCAGAATGCACAGGGGAGCAGCTGATGTTGTATTATTTTAAATCGCATGCCAGTTTTCATAAACACAGCGATATTTTTTTAGTTGGCAGGGTTATAATTAAACCTATAAAGAATTAGAGGCACATGCCAAGAGAACATTTCCCTTCTCTGCGCACTGTAAAACAGATCTACCAAATTATAGGAAGAAGTTGGGATGCTGCACAGCAGTTAAAGACATTCAGAAGCATCAGTGACAGATTAGTCACTCACCAGGCTAATCAGTCAATAATAGTTTATGTGAAATGTATGTGGCACTATAGGTTGTTTCATCTAGCAGACAGACATATACCAGAAATGCAAGGGCTAAAAGGCTAAAGTCAACACAGGGCAACTAAAACATGAAACAAAGGGAAATCTATATTCCCCTGGATTATTACCATCATTATAAAATAATAGTAAATGTAACTGAGTTAGAATTCACAGTGGTAACATTTACATTTACCACTGCAGAGACTTCAAATCAAGACTGATGCATATCAAGAAAAGAGAAAAGTATGTTCTAGTTCAGTCAGAAATTACTGGTCTAAAACAAAGGAGCAGTCAGATAAAATCTATGGCCTGCAAAACGTAAGACGTCAGAGCAGGTTATTAATATGGCCCTTCCTGGCTGTAATATTTATAGATCTGTGAAAAATGTAGTCATGTTATCTCCTGTAAAAGAATAGTATCATCAACTATTTCCAAAAGGGGTACTAATTTAAACCAGAGAAGTCACTGGGTATTTTCTGTCATCAGCAGAGCATGAAGATCCACAAAACTGCTGGTAGATGGACAGGCAGAGGTCTGATTTATAATACAGTACATTAGAAGAAATAAAGCATAAGGCACATTCATAGTATTACAAATATTCACTGTTCAATAAAAGAAGGGGTTACGCTGAGGTTCATTTATCTCTATATTACTTAGTATCATATTTCTATTCAGAATTTTATTACATGCTGGATTATTTTACAATTCCTACTTCAGATATATCTGAACATAAGACACTGAGTATATTTTGCTACATGGATTCATCTCAATATCAGTATTTGTGTGTCAGTCAAGGACTATTCTCTCCATTGCTGCAAGATTTTCCTCCATCTCCTTTTCAACTTTTATGAAAATTTGTTTTATTAAAAAAATAAAAATCAATAACTTTGCTTCAAAGTTATATGATCAAACCCTTCATAAATACAAATAAGGGCAAGCTTTCTAGCTCAAGATCTTGTATTGAACCTGAACAGCAGG